GTCCATCCGTGACATCTCAATAGTAGCAGCGGCACCCTGCCCAATGCGACCCTCGGGCAACTCGTTCATCGCATCCTCCTCCTTATCCAGATCCCTAAACTGGAACCAGAAGATAACACCCGCCACTCCAGCCAGCACGGCCACGATGCCGTAATTCCAGACTAGGTACGGGTCGGTACTCAACGGCGTGAAAGCCTGGCCCAGCGCCGCCGAGATGGCCGACATGAAGAGCGCCACGGCCTGTACCATGGACCGCATGTTCTTGGGAGCCTTGCTGAAGGCGTACTCGAGGCTCGTGATGCTGGCAAAGATCTCGGACAGGGCGATGAGCACGTAGGCGCCCGTCTGGGCCCAGACGAGGATGTCGACGGGAGGGCAGGGGTTGCCGTTGGGTAGGGTGCCTGAGGCGAACTGACCGCAGACGGAGCGCTTGTAGATGTAGTACTGCAGCACGCAGGCCCAAACCATGGCCATGGCGCCAGTGAAAAAGCCGAAAGCGATCTTCTTGATGGGCGTAAAAGGGATTCTGAGCTTGCGGAGAGTCGGGTAGAGGACCAGATCGCAGAGCGGAATGAAGAGAATGAGGGCTATGGGATCGAGGTTGGAGAGGATATCGTTGGGGAGGCCATTAAGCTGCATCGTGGCAGCTTGGGATACTAGGTTGTTGTTCACTTGTGACGAGTTAGATGGGTGGCCATCTACAAATGGGTTGAGGGGCAGTTAGTCACTTACGTTGATTATACGAGAGCCAGTAGATGGGATACCAAGAAAAGACGGCACAAGCTGCGAAGCCACGACGCCTGCAGAGGTCAGTAAGTAGTCAACCCAAGTGCGCCGAATTGATACTTACAGCTCTTCGACCCAGGCGTCATCAAAAGTCATCCACTTTGGCCGAGTTGCATCGGAAAAGTTCGAAGGCTTGACCCTCTCCCAAAAGGTCCCATCATGCATGCTCCTCCAGGTCGTAACAGGGTTAATCGACCATCTACCCTTCTGAGCAAAGAGAAACGTCCTCAGAGCCGGTCCCAAAACCGAGCCCGTCGGGGGCTGATCGCGATATCTGCCCTTTCCCCACCACATGACAAGAGGACACAGCGCCAACATGCAAGTCGGCAGCGTAAAGCTCAGCCAGAAACCGACGTACTTCTCGGCGTAGACCATGGAGATCTGGCCAACCAGGGCGCCAATGTTGATGAACATGTAGAACCAGTTGTAAACCCTATTGATAGTGATGGCAGGGTCGACTATGACCTTCTCCCCCGTCGGAAGCGTCCGTACGGTCAAGTGATCGATTTCGAGCTGCTCCGCGATCAAGGGACTGACGTTGGGTTTGAAACCTCCCGTGGCAAATCCAATTGTTCTAGCTAGAGTTAGCTTGATGGTGATCCGGACCGGCAGCCAGAATACTACTTACATCATGCCGACGAGCAGTGCGGATAGCGAGTTTCCGGCTGGCTTGGTGATGACGGGTGGGATAGCGGCGGTGATGAGAATCAAGTGGCCTACGAGATCAACGGCGATGGAGATGCAGATGGTCTTGTACCGTCCCCAGTACTTGTCGGCGACCCAGGCGCCGAATAAGGGCATGAAATATTGCCAGAACTGGTTGAATGTCGTGATACCCGTTGACGCCTGCTGGCCCATCCCAAGCGCACCGGGTTGGCCATTGGGGGCGGCGCCGGTCGTCGAGCCCGCTGGGAGAGGTTGTTGGATGAAGTTGGTAACTGGGCTTAATTAGTACTCGGACCGGTATGACCTTCACTCATTCGCAAAACATACACTTCAAGTGTTAGTTTCTTCTGCCAATTGGAGGAATTGAGTCTACTCACGACAATAACGGAGCCGTAGTATGAGAAGCGCTCGCACAGCTCAACAAAGGCGATAGTGAAGAGCTTAAAGGGAATGTGGTCCGAAACTCTCCTCAAAGTCTGCAACTCTTCGTCGGTCGGCGCATCTGGCCGCGGTTGGATACCCCTCTTCTCGTCGAGAGATACATCTTCGTAGAACTTCATATCGTACGAGACCTCTCTAGGCTGAGACTCAGAGAGGGACTGTTCAATCGTATCTCCGGCTGGCATAGTATTTTGGTTCCTCTGATGTCAAACCAGATATTGAAGCTGTGATCATCACAAGAGAGCAGACGTGCGGAGAGATAAGAAGAGGGCGGCCTTCCGCATTTATGGTCTTGGCTCTTCCGGTCCGATATGTGAAACACGATTAAAGAACCCGTGAAGGACACAGGGATGAAGATGGGAAGGAACACTCGCTATCTTGGGGAAAGAAGGGTAAGGATTGGCTTATGATAAGGTAGAAGGCGAACAAGCAGGGATATTCAGGCCAAGATAAAACCGAGAAAGAACGGACGGGCTCGTAGCAGATCGTGGGGGAGGGGGGAAGGAAACACTACACGGAGCGGCAGCGGACTTGGGGCGAGCAGGCCTGAGCTCAGGGGGCAAGTGTAAGAGAAGTACAGACGAGATGGGAACCAGATTGGCGGATGTGAACTTTCGCGTGCGTCTGCTTTTTTGATCAAAGCAGAATAGTATCATTGTTAGCCTAGTAATCAAGCTGATCGATTGTGGGATTTGTATGTGATTATCGTTGCCTTCGCTCCGATAACCGGGCTGCAACTCGCTTGGCAAACCATTATTCGAGATTAGCTTTTGCTGTGCGGTTGACCAGACTCGAATTCTATGAGTTTTCTTCAAGCTTCGAGACAGGAAAGTCACAGCCGAGTCGACGATCGGTTAATTAGGGGCGTCAATCCCCGAATAGTCGGGTCTGGCCAAACCGGGCCATTCCAGGTCGTAATGCTTTGTCAACGACAATTACACAATGGCTGATGTGTACCGGCCTACTACTAGTCAAAATCGATGCCTTTTCTGGGTACGAATCCTACAATCGACCTCCTCTTCTTTATCTATTTCTTTCTTCCTCCCGATACGCGTGTGAACCAAGAAGCGACATACGCAGAAGACCAGTACCATGGGGAAGATGTCAGACACGGCGTTACACTGTCTACATCGCGCTTCGGAAGAAGCCGGCGTCAAAATCTTGAACTTTATGGCACGCGCCCTAATAAAAGTAAGAATTGAAGAGCCAGAAATTGCGTAGCACCCCGAGTCACTACCGGCCCATCAGCGGGAAATGTGGCCGTCGGACGTCTAGGGTAAGTGATGATACGTGGCGCATGTCGTTCCGAGTCAGGGAAATAATGCAGCATACGAGGAATGACAGCGATTGGAAGCGTGTCATCAGGCGACAATTTCACGCCCTCTGTTCAATGATTCGTTGTTCAAACGAAGAAGAGGTCATCATTGACGTTTCCCGGGCGGCCCCACTCTAGGCCGGCGCCGACTCTAACTCCGGCTCGGCAGGAACGGGAGCCGTATATGTGGAGTCGTGTTACATTGGGGAATTAGTGCTTCTCTGATGCGGACGGCTCAGGGGGCAGACGTCGGAATGTCCGGGTGAGTGAGAAAACTCGGAGACGTTGCTCGGAAAATTCTTGGCCTCAAGCGCTGCCTGTTTGGTTAGCAAGACATGGATGTCTCACGCTCAGAACCATCCTCAGATCAGTCTTCATTGGTTCGCGCATTCGATGCATGTCTCTCACTTGCAAAGAAAGTATCTCAACCGACAGCGCATAGGGATGCAAAGGTAGCGGCAATTCTCTTTGAACGGGAAAATGGAGTTGTCTTGACGAAAGAAGCGGCTTTTGCTGCACGGTATTATTAAATGTCTATATGAACGTTCGGAACGGCCGAATGGGATATGCAAGAAGAGAGCAGCGTAAAAACCACTCTATACGCGCTTCGTCACCGGGCCAAAGGATTTCCATCTCTTGAACCATCCTACTTTATGCTCATGACTGAGACCTCCAAGAAAGCCTCCCCATACCTGGACGTTGTCTCCTTTTTAGAACTTGCCCTTGAGCAGGTTGGAAATCATCTCACGACCGGTGATACGGGTCGTCGTCCACAGGGTGGGGAAGTCGAGGGTGCTGGACAGGCCGTCGGCGAAGCCAAAGAAGAGCATGGGCGGGATCCAGCCGCGGGCGTACTCGAGCGCGAAGCAGCCCTCGTCCATCTTGTACTGCTTGACGTCGCCGCGGTGGAGGTGGTGGACGGTGCCCTGAGGGTAGACCTCGGGTTCGTACTTGCCGGGGACGTAGGCGAGCTGGGTGCCGTAGAGGATGTTGAAGTAGTCGTCGGCGGTGTGGCGGCCCGAGTGGCCCTCGGTTCCGATGGCGGTGCCGAAGACGATGAGGTACTCGGTGATGCCTGTAAGGTTTTGTTAGTGAACTGCCATCCATTGTCTTTCAATTATTGAAAGAAGGGGAACTCACTGGCGTGAATGATGTACATGGCGCCCATGGCACCACCGGCGTTGTTAAAGACCCATTCCTCGTCGAGATTGACGTTGGTGGGGTGCATGCCGTTGAGCTCGGTCACGATGTAGTTGACAACGGAGCGCGTGTCGTTTCCATGTGCGGCAATGGCGCGCTTGGAGAGGTCGTGCAGATGCTCGTGGTCGAAGATGTAGAACTTTTCCAAGTTCTTCTCGAGGAACATGTAGATGGGGGTCAGGAGACCGATCCACAGCGCCAGTGTAAACAGGCGCCCGAGAGACGGCATTGTGATTTGCGCGAAGAGTCTGGAGTAAGACTTGAGATACCAAAGTGCAAAGAAAAGGGGAAGGAATGTGGTGGTCCAATTGACGGACTTGTGTACGGTGGAGGAGAACGAAGAGGGCGCACACAGGAAAATGTTCTGCGACGGGAGCACCGGCGAAGATGGGTTTAAGAAGGCTTCGTTGAGCTGTAGTGGCCGTTGTCGCATCGCTTATTGTTTTTGGTTGAGAGATTGGCAGGACCCTGCATTTTGCCCTTTCTGCCATGCGTCACCGCCCCGGAAGCTCAAGTTGCCAGTGGCCTGACGGAGCTTTGATGGTGGGGCTAGCCATGGATTTTGCTGTTTAGCTGCAGCTATCCGGGATGGCGGGGCCGTCGACTGGGCAATTCACTGAGAAAAAAAAATCGGACTTTCGGGTTTCTGACAAGTGCAATCTCATCCACCGAGCAAACGGAACGGACTTTGATACTCCAGCCTCACCTACGGAGCCGGAAGGAAACTTCGCGACTGGGGTCAGCTCATACCGGTCATCTCACTTTTCAGCAGTCACATACACACGCATACTCAAGTGTGACACCGGGAACGAACAAGAGCTCCGACCATAGCTAGCTCTCACACGTCATACATCCATCCAAAGCTCTCATCATGGCCACTGTTGAGACTCCCCAGACCGCCGTGCCGGGCAAGGTCCTCGGCCCAATTACGCGGTTCGCCGCAGGCCCAGGAACGCACGTCTACAATGGAAACGTCGTCGCCTCCCTGCTCGGCGACGTGACCGTCACAGCATCCACCAAGGCCCAGGCCGGCCTCACGAAGCGCCTCAACCGCATCACGCCGCTGTCGCCCGAGGAGCTGGCGACCATCTCCGTGGCGCGCAAGGGCGCCAGCAAGAAGCGCGAGATGCTTCCCGACGTCGGCAACATGGTGCTCTGCCGTGTCGTGCGCTTGATGCCGAAGCAGGCCATTGTCACGATCCAGCAGGTTGGCGACACGGTACTCCAGACGGAGTGGCAGGGCGTCATTCGCTCTCAAGACGTGAGGGCGACAGAAAAGGATAAGGTCAAGATCTATGAGAGCTTCAAGCCTGGTGACGTGGTGCGGGCGCAAGTGGTGAGTGATTCTCTGCAAGACATTGAAATGTGACTTGTGATGGGTAGCTGACTTGATGTATCAGATTTCTTTGGGAGACCAGGCCAACTACTACCTCTCCACCGCTGCCAATGAGCTGGGAGTCATCATGGCCACCAGCGAGGCTGGCAACGACATGGTGCCGGTGAGCTGGAAGGAGTACAAGGACCCGGAGACGGGCATTGGAGAGCCGCGCAAGGTGGCCAAGCCAAACTGATTGGCGCTTTTTTTTTTTTTTTCATCTACTTGCCTATCTTTTCACGATGTTCAGGTTAAGCTGTGGAGAGCTTTGCAGCTGGATACGCTCAGACGCTTGAGGTTGCAGAATATTGTGCACCGCCTCGCCGACGAGGCTGAGGACTGAGGGCTGATGGCCGCTTTTACCGCCTCCTCGCTCAGCAGGGAAGTGCTCTCATGGCGTTTCGAAACGAGAGGGCCGGCATGACGACATGACAGCGAGCTTTTTGGGCAGTTTCAGACTTCTGGACCGAACCCGAGCGCCGACTTGGCTGGTGCACCAGCGCAACAAACCAAGAAAAACGGCCTTTTATCATCCTTCCTGGTAGCGTCAGCATCAGCAACAGCTGCCGTCAGCAGCAGTGCATGAAATTTGGACGAGAGATGGAAGCATGAGCCCCACTGCCAACCAACGATGCAGTGGCAGTTTGGAGGGGTTGCATGGCCGGCAAGGTGCCCTTTGTGTGCGGGATACACTGCGACGGCTCAGCACGGGACATGGCGAGGTCAAAGGACTGATTGATGGGCAGTCCGATGTGGGAGCCTTATTCATGCAAGGGGACGATCAAGAGTTGTCAAAAGGGAACGGGTATTGGGCGCCAGAGACAAAGGACGAGCGAAGGGGGAGAAATCGCCAGAAAATGGTCGTTTACACTCCATAGTCGTCAATCATGACACCTACATGATTAGGATGTCACCAAATTCCCAAGTGTAAACTGTTGTTCCGTTCCCGTCAGAGCATTGACATGAACGGACATTCCGCAATTGGCATTAATTTAAACAATCAGTCAATTTGGACCGAGAGCAAGAAACATGACTTTGTTTAATCAAAACGGTTGCGACCCGCAAATAAAAGAGAATGCAAAAGAAATGGCAGCAAATTAAGGCTCAAGCAACAGTCGTACAACCGTTCCCGTCTCTCCCTGCCATCTCGGTTGATGAGGCTTTCAACCGCAAGGAGAGTGCTGGAACAGAAAATGGGGTGGAGCAGTGTCGGCCCCCGTACGGAGTATCTAGGTAAAGCCCAAATTGGGTTTCCTCGCCCAATCGCCCGACGCCGTTTTGTTAGGACCCGCCCGTTTGGGACACTGAAGGACCCCGGTCCACCGTTCCTCCCCAATCATCGTTACCACCCCCGAATTCCCACGAAAGCAAGGAGGCGCAGTTCCCGTTCGCGTCGTCAATTTAGTCGTGGAAGGAAACGGCATCGAAAGAAAAGGGCAGGTGTGTGTGGTGTCACGTAAGTCTGGTGGCTAAGGTGGCATGTGGGCGGGATTTCAGGCAGATGGGGTTCCTTCTCTGCCATCTTTGATTACCTACCTTATTTGTACGAACCTAAACCCTTCAATTGTCTCTTGTTCCCTTCTCTTTGCTTTTTTCTCTTCGTGGACTCACCGATATTCAATATTCCCATTTGACTACGAACGAATACACTTGACCGAACCTGCGACAAGTCAACTGTACCTTGACTTTTTCTGCCTCCTCAAAGCGCCGTGCTGCTACGAATAAGAGTTCCAAACCACCCTTTGCGAACACTCTATTTTTCTCAGATATAATAGCCTGACATATGATCGTGCGCGGCCACCCACCACTCGCATTTCATCCCCCCTCCTGACGAACCTTTGGCACCTCGACGTCACACCTTTCAAACTCTCTAGCCCCCCCGCCGCGCTAAAGTAGCTTTTCCCTTCCTCACGCGGGGACTTTGCAACGCCTCGAGCACAACCTAAAAAGAAGCTTGATCTATATCCCCCGCCACTTCTCACGTCTAAGTCGGTCGCGCATCTCAGTAATCGACTTTCCCACGGAACTGCACCGAGGAGTGCGAACGAACACCCAGCTTCATTCTCACCACACAACTGAGAAAAGCGCTTGGAACGAATAGTACACATAGTCCCCTTCACCAAAGCCATGAGCGCGACAATGACAATGACCGCCGCGCACCCGCCGCTAACACCGCCAACCCTCTCCCTCTCAACCGACCGCTCAGAGCAACATTCCTGCCCCTCCTGCGGCGTTGTCCTCGAAGCGCCCCCCGCCCTCCTCGAAGCCCAGTCCCGCATCGCCGATCTCGAAGCCCAGGTCCGCCTCCTCAACCAAAAGGCCGCCGCCGCCGTCGACCGCTGGGCCGACTACGAAGACGAGCTCACACGCCTGCGCATCGCCGCCTCCCACCGAACTTCCACCCCTGCCGCCTCTCCCGGTCTCGCCCCCGCGCTTCCTCTCGCCCCCAGTCCCTCGCCCACCCGCACCAGTTTCTTAAGCGGCGGCGCGAACAGACTGTCACAACTTCTCAGCCCGCGGGGTATGAAGTCCTCGCCGAACCTGCGCACGCCATCGCCACCACCTGACGGACCCGCGTCGACGGAAGACCTGCGAGAGGCGCTAGGGAGGGAGCAGAAGATGAGGATGGCCGCAGAGAGCAGGCTGAGCACGACGAGCCAGGAGGTGGAGGAGCTGAGTGTCAGTCTCTTCGAGCAGGCCAACGAGATGGTCGCGACGGAGAGGCGGGCGCGGGCGAAGCTCGAGGAGAGGGTCGAGACGCTGGAGAAGCGGGACAAGGATAAGCTGAGGCGGTTAGATCGGCTTGAGGGGGCCGTGGGGCGAATCGAAAGGGTGAGGTCGCTGTTGGGCGAGATGAATGCCAGGGACGAGAGTGTGAGGGAGGCGGCGGAGCAGAAGAGGGCTTCGCAGCCGTGACGTGGGTTAGCACGGGGGACCATGGGAATCATGATGGGGTAGGAATGTACGATGCATAGCGGTGCGATACCCGCGGACACTTTAATGACGATACGACACGTACTGCATACTGGGCGGGAAACCTTGGGTTATATTTCACGAATCGCAATGAAATGGATAAAGAGGATTCCAGGAAGAAGTAGCCAAACCGAAGTACGCCCACAGGAGTCGAATCTGCGAGCTACAGTTGTAGGTAGCGCTGCGCTTCAGGATTAGGGGTATAGCCATCTTAAGCATCTGGGCAGTAGCCCCTTTTTCAACTGATGGTAGGATTCGAAGCCGATCGATACTTGTACCTTTGGTCTACCTAGGTAGTACGTATTGACGAATATGCCATGGGAATACTGGAAAGACAGCACATCAATTTACACGGTCTTTAGGTCCGGAGAACACAAATCAAACGACTGAGCTGTTTCAACTGGTAAACTTCATCATCTTCTTATTTATACGGGCAAATGGGCAATCGTAGTCAAGTGTCCAAGTGTCGGGTCACCCCTTGATCTGCAATGCTTTTCTGGGTCATGCTAAATGAAGCCTCCGTACGCCGTGCCCTTCTCCCAGGCCGTAGCCTCACAAACTGAAATGTTTTTCATCACGAAGCCCTTGTGTCTCTGTGTACTTTAATGTTGTCTCGTCTATGCGACGCTCAAGTTTTAGTCTTGAATACCTTCCCATACGTCATCAAACTTCTTTTTGTTAGCTGACTTCGCCTTGGGAGAAGTTTTGGGAGAACCTTTAGGTGACGCCTTGGGAGACGCCTTGGGAGACTTCTTGGGCGAAGACTCCTTGACATCGCTAGCCTGCTCCGACTTGACCACCTTGGCGGCGGGCGCCTCGTCTCCTGAGCTGGAGTTTCTCCTCTTCTTGGACGCGTCATCGTTCTTCTCGAAGCTCTTGTTATCCCACTTGCGCTTCCTATCATCCTTACGGCCGTGGTTCTGCTGTTGCTTCTGCTGGCCTTGGGCATTCTGTCGCTCGCGTTGCGATTGCGGCGCTCCGTTGGGGTACTTTTCGGTCCATTCAGACAATGCCTTGGCGACCTTGGGTCCCCAGACCTCCTCTCCCTTGAGAACGTCATCGTACTCCAAGCAGCTATCAGTGCGGACCTCGAAATCACCCTGTCGGGATCGCTCAAGCTCGGCCATCATGCCCGCAGAATCGACCTTGGCACCCAGATCATGGCAGAAGCTGCGGACATAGAATCCAGACGTGACCTTCATGCGAATCCTGGCAGCGGGCGGGCCCTTGTCGGTCCAAGGGAAGGGCTCATCCGCAGACGGAGGTGGCGGGATGAGGTTGGAGCCCTTGCCACCTGGGAGTTGTCCCAAGGCGCCAGACATCAGGGCCGGGTTCTTGGGCGGCTTTTGCTTCTTGGCAGGCTTGTCGCGGATAAGACCATCCTGGCGCTCCTCAAACTTTTTCTTCACAGTCTCGTGTTCGGAGAGGGCTTTCTCTTCTTCCTTCTCCTCCTCAGGAGTGAGCCGGCGGCCAGAGCCCTGTTGCTTCTCCACTCGCCAGACCTGCTCAGCGAGGTTCTTCTCGGCCGTCTCCGCCTCTTCGGTAGGCCATCTGTAGTTGTGCGTTCCGGGCTCGTACCACTCGACCATTTCGAGCTCAGACACTTCAACGTCGCGTCCCACGATTTCTCTAGGGATAGCCTTGCCCTCACGAGCGTACTCATACAGCGGCTTGCCCTCCATCTTGAGTGCCGAGTACAGAGGAGGGATCTGCTCGAACTTGCCCCTGAAGCTGTCCATCGCCTTCTCGACCTTTTCTTTTGTGATCTCATCGTACGGCCGTCTGCTCAATATTCTACCCACGCGGTCGTATGTGTCTGTGCTTGCGCCAAATAGTACCACCGTCTCGTAGGTCTTGGTGCAGTCGAGGAATGAGCCGAGTGATTTGGTGCCCGATCCGACACCCAGAATGAGCACGCCGGTCGCCAACGGATCGAGTGTGCCCCCGTGGCCCATCTTTACGCGGGAGTCTTTCTTAACGGCTCGGCGGCGCTTCCACTCCTGCTTGGATTCCTGCATCTTGGCGGCAAGGTCTCTCTCGATCAACGGCTTGAACATGGCCGAGGGGTTCATCTGCTGCTGACAATCGCGGATCACCTGCGCAGAGCTCATGCCGTACGGCTTGTTGATGGCTGAGTTGGAGATACCACGGTCAGTATTTGTCGAATCGCATCGCGCGCCTGGAGGCGCCCGGAGAGCAACAATGGGAAGCAAGGAGGCAACGCTTACCGAAGACGCCTTCGTACACGGTGTCTTTCGCCATCTTCCAGAGATTGGGCGTAATTCTCATTCGCCCGATGTTGGAGGATCTTGGTGGAAAAAAGAGAGAAAGAAGCGATGCGGCCGGTGGGGGGGGGGGGGGGAGGTGCGGCCTTCTCTTTAGCTTTTGCGCTTTCCGTGGATCTTGCGCTTCTCTGCATGCAGTTCTGGGAAATTTTTTAGGAAGGGACGTTCCAGTGATTCTTATCGGCTTATCTATTGGTCCAGGAATGACAGAGCCCCTGTCTGCTGGGCCCGTGGACTAGCAAGTTCCCTGTACCGGCGATGAGTCCCGCTACCTTTCTTCCCAGCTCCAGTGGGGGAAGAAGTGGTGGTCGCATGCCCCGCATCAGTAACTGTACTTCCTACAGTAGGCAGGCACGACGTTCCGTGCGCTCCAGCTTTCTTTAATGGATTTGAGAACCGCGTTCGCGTGCTTCCTTCCCACCTGCCCACCACATATCACATATCGTCGTTGTAGCCCGTTGGCAACGTGCACCATCAACCCGCAACATCTTGTTCTTTCCCCCTGGAAACCGCATCCCAAGCCCGATGAACTTGCGTCTAGCACACATTTTCGCCTCGTGCACCGAGAAGTCCCGCCCCTTACCACCTCGAACGATTGCAGATTTAAAGAGTACAATGGCTGGACGGCGGCGACGAACGTCGGATTCGACGACTGGCACCGTCGAATCCGACAGACGGGTCTACGCTAAAGAACTCAGCATTCTCAAGAGATACGATCCTGTGGAGGGAGACATGCTGCAGACATTCGTTCTTGAGGATGCCATCGTCTGCGACAAGAAGGGCAATCCCGTTGAGCTCTTTACCGTCAATACACAGGGCCCATTCACGGTTCGAGGTCGTGTCATCATTGATGGACCGCAGACGGCAAGAGGTCTGGCTCGATCCATGAACACCCATTGCCTCCAATCGCTTACATTATGCAGCCGTGAAACCTTCTACGAAATCAGCCTTGATCGAAACCCACGAATGCACTCGTTACGCTATCGGCGTTAGCGACAATGGTTATGGCGCATGGGCTGGGGGCGCGGCGGGATGGTACGAAATTCGACCACCATCAGCCGCCTATAAGGCGATATTCGACCACACAATCGAAGGAGTTTCGGTCTACTACACGATTCTGGACATCATCGAGGAGCACGCCGAAGCCAGCACGAACAGGAAGGGCCCCAAGAAGAAGAAGAAGGGTGCGGCAATGACCATTGAGACGTTGTTGTTCAAGGTGAGCCTGACGCTGAGAAGAATCTAGCGATCTATGCTAACGCAAGTGACAGTATGCAGTAGCCATGGGCGATGGTGCTACTCTCGAGGAGGTGGAACAGCGCTGCGACGATCATGCATCTTTCCTTATATCCCATTTCTATGAAGAGCCAGAATTTGAATGGACGCCGACGCTCTTTTTCAAATGGATGACAGAGCGACACCCAGTATGTAGTAGCTCCACCTCACTTTGCTGGAGACCCAACTAATCAAGTAAGGATATTCATAAGAAAGTCCTTGAGCTCAGGAAGAAGAAACTAGCGGGAGTTAAGCCTGGTCCATTGATACCAGAGGAGACCGAAGCTGTGATGACGCCGACTGCTTCGGACGACCCCCCCGCGCAGAAGGCGTTGTCGAAACGGAAGCAAAGGGGCACACCTGCCGACGATAGCCAGACCGATTCGCACGACTTTGCTCTCTCAGCACGGGACATGAGGTCCAGATCAAGGGGCAAGACCAAAACGCAGTCACCACCCGCCCCTGAATCTTTGGAGGAACCCATGGCAGTGGACGAGACCGCAGAGGTTCCAAATCAAACGGAACTTGTCAGAACTGTCCATGACCGATCCAACGTGGACGCCCTCCTAGAAGCCATCGACGACATCAAACTCGAAGCCGAGCCGTTGAGTAAAGCAGCGTTCTCCAAAGTGTCATCAAAGTTGTACTACAAGTACAAGGTCAAAGCCTACCTGGGAGCAGCAGACATCCTCAAGTACTATGCAAAAGAGCTGGTTGAACGCCTGGATCAGGATGAGTGGAGAGGGTCTGGTTTCTGGAAAACGCTCGAGGAATCTGCCCAAGGTCCTCGCTTCTCTCTTGAGCACATACAGCTTGACCAAATTCCTGAAGCCCTAACGCGACGGAAGGCGAAGGAAGTATCAAACCCACGGAATCGTTGGCCATCACTTCCTGAAGAGGCCCAGAGGAGCACGGTTGTTGCAACTCCTCCTCCAAGACGTGTCGGTAGACCAGCTGGAAAGATGTCAGGCCTTCGGCTTGCGAGCACCGGTGGTAAACGACGCTTTGATTCCGGGGACGAGACCCCAGAAAGTATCTCTCGACAGGTCGCAAAGAGGTTCCATGCCGGCGACTCTTCTGACGAGGATGAAGTCATGAATGATGGCAGCAGCTCTGAAGATGACGATTCCAGTGTTGACTCTGCAGAATCGCCCACCGCCCTAAAGGTTGTCGTGCGAGCAGAGAACATCCCAACAACAATACCTAAAGGACCTAACGGCACTTGGGTCTGTGACGAGGATGACTGCGGGTTTGTCGAGCGGAACCCAGAATCAGAAGATGGACGTTTGAGAATCAACGAGCACATGCAGGATGAGCATTACCACGAAGACGAGAACAAAGTCCAACGCATCAACTTGGCAGTGACGGAGGGTGATAAGAACCACCTCCCCATAGAGTATGGCTCCCCACCCTCGTCTCCTGAATTTAGATATACCTTTGTTTCAGATGAGCCACCAGAAGTTTCCCCTTTTTGGGACACAAATCCGAGTGGATATGTTCCAGACGGAGACGAAAAACGGCCCTCGCTGCAGGTCGAATTTGATGTGGATAAGGGAAACGAGAACGTCATTTTTTCAGGCATCTAGGGCGCAATCTTGCAGGTCGTTCAGTTGTCCTTCGATATTAGTTTTGCTAACAACTGTTCTAGTCACCTGCTCGAGAAGATCCGCCAAATGGGCCACAAGATCCAAGCGACGGAAGGGTTGGAGATAAATGAGACGGCCGTGCCTCAGCCTATCAAGAGACGATTGCTCACTTGAAGGGCAATTGCTAGTGATGGTTTGACTCAGTCAGGGGTTACTTACGGCGAGACAGGGTTCGAGGACAGAAACACGGTTGGCTTGTTTGCATGGACTTGGCGTTTAGGGGGGATTTAGGAGACATCTTCAGCACGGCATAAGCTGATGGCGTTGGTTAGAGAGAGATCTCACGGATTGGCTCATGACGATGACGTGCATAAGTATCACCCCGATGTTCTGGCTTTGAGCCGCTGGCTTTGAAGGCACTGTTGTAGGAATCAACTAGACTTAATACCTGAAGCAGCTCTCCCACTTGGCATACAAATGCTCCTGTGTGCCACAGAAATAAGCAAGAGAATGCGAGAAACAGAGTCTCAGTGTTAGCTTAATACTTACCACAAGTCACCCGCGTAATTGGCCAGGAGTATATCATGTACATACCTCAGGCATAACTGGTTTATAGGTAAAGTCTGCTTCCATTCGTCTGATATAGAACAGCTAACCTACGGCTTTATGAAAATTGTAATGCAAACTTAATCTTTGTCTGGATCCAGCTTCGAGCTCCGCCGCACGCTCCGAACCCCCGAGGCTATACACGGACTGACATATGTCTCATATTCCACCCCGGAAGTGCATACTGCTCTCGTGGGGTAGCAGCTCGGCATCTCTTGTGCTGTCCAGTCCTTCGTCTGCTTTTGATTCTCCAACGCCACGCTCCAAGGCCAGACATCTTCAGCCCTAAAACCGCCTCTGGTCCAGGTACTTGCTCGCTGTTGACCATACCGCCTTGTCAGCCGCCGAAACCTCCTTGTTGAGCGTCTGTACGCCCTTGTGGATGGCGTCGAAAAAGGCAAATGCAAGTTGAATATCCTCCTTGAAGTTGGTAGCGTAAGGGAAGAACGCCACGGGGAACTCCTCGATTTTGGCTTGTCGCAGCTCGATGTCACCGGCGGGGAGCTCGTCCATGAGTGTCTTGACCGCAATGCCCAGAGCGATGTCAGGGTTGTGGAGGAAGGGCAAACTTTGTGAGACCAATTAGTGGCTGAATTGATTGAGGGAAAACAAGGATACTTACGTCTGGCTGATTTGCAGGTAGTCATCGCGATCTCTCTTTGACTGTGCGTATAGGAACATGGATGCCACAATTGCTTCAACGAGGTCGCGATCCGCCTCACGCACAGCAGTCGAAAGTGACCGGAAGAGGAGAAGATTCTTGTTGAGAGGGCCGGTGTATCCATTAGACTCGTGTCGAAGTTTCAATAGGGAGGCACATCTGCTGATGAGAAGAATGCTCGCCTTTTCTTCGTCAGTGCCGTTCATTGGCGCTCCATTCAGCTCTTCGTGTCGATGGCCTGAGTTGAGCACATCGTGCCGGATGAGCTCGAACGCATTCAAGATAGCCTCAAATATGTTGAGACCTTCAGGAACCTGCAAGTCCTTGAGCGAATCCTTCATCGCCCAGATTGCGCTGGCAACGGCGTTACCCCAGTTCGTCAATGTGTGCGAATCATCGACGTAGCCACGGAGATGGAGGAATCTCCAGATGGCAACCGCCGTGATATTCTGAACAGAATCGATGCCTCCAATACGCTTCTTCTCTTTGGGGAAGGTGCCTTTGACGAAATCATCGAACAGGAGTGCCAAAATCTCGAAAGCAATGGATCCAGGGGGGTCGTCGACACCTTCGGCGACAGTCTTGAAGGAGCTTTCCTTCACGTCCCATGTAGCGGCACGCTGAGATGGTGATGGCTGAAGAGACTTGTTGATTTTGTACGAGAAGTTATCGTCGAACCAAACCTTCATGGTGATGGCGTTGTGCTGGAGGCCACGGTGAAGTCTCGGTATCAGAAGCGCGATGCTCTGCTCCTTGAGAGGAACAAGTTGGCTTGTAACCAGTTTTCTATACTGTTCTGAAGCAACTCCGTCCAGCGTAGGCGTGACGACGATTCGGCTATGTGTTATGTAGTCGAGGACGCGGGAGCCAATGAGACCAGTGTTGAGGTAGTGAAACAACTCTCCGGGAAGCTGAAGACCAAGGTATTCGTGGTTATCACTTGTGATGTGATCAAAGTCGTTGACTTTGATCTCGCCTTCTTCGGATATATAGATAAAGTGGTTGACGGCCATCTTGGCTTGTCTGTACTTGTCCAGCCATTTGGGATCCTTTGACTTCAGAATGTCGCCGTAGGAGCTGCAGGCTGATTGAACAGATTTTTCCGACGCTCTGAGGAGGTTGACAGCATCATTGATAGTAAAAGGCTGGCGTGGATTGAGTGAAGTGTCCAGGAGTGGTGGGAAGGGTGGTAGGAAGGAGGTTCCGGTCATGAGGAGAGCGTCGCTCAACATGCCTTCGCTAATGTTCAGTGACCGCACGAGGTTCTTCTTGGATAACGATGTGACGGTCTTTGCCTCCCAATCTATCGTGCGAATTAGAGTGTCCTTGATCGGATACAGGATCAGCTCCTGCGAGCCCATGACAGCGGCGCATTGGTCCGAATCGATCATGTCGAAGTAGGCGAGCTAATAAGCCCGTCAGCATTGAATATCTCGGCTTGTCCGAGCTCGAACCTACCTGAGCGGAGGCATTGTAGGGGGGGACAAGGAAGTGCAGATCGTTGTCCTTCAGGATAGACTTGAGCAAGGGGTAGAGGTTCTGGATGCGAAAGGCGCCTGCAGTCTCATAGTCAGTGTGGCCCATCGACATCACAGCGATAATGCGTACCGCTGTTGGCACCGAACGCGTCGACAGCTTCCTGTGCGTGGCTGTTGAAGTATAGCTTCCAAGCTTCGTCCGTCTTCTGGTTGGCAGTTCGGCCTCGCTGAACGGCGACCTCCTCTTGGCCGGTCACAGATTGTCCATCGAAGATGAAGAAGGGTACGATCTTGTGTGCCTTCCATTGGTCGATATCAGCTCGGAGATGGTGCTCGATGCCAGTCATGCCACCCAGAGCGGGCAAGAGAGGTTCGTGGAAAGGAGGGGTGTCGAGGAAGAGTTGGAGGTAGTATGTCGCATCAATGGCTATCGCGCAGTCCTCGAGCTCGGAGACATCGTGACTCCTACCCAAATGATTTAGTCAAAGGAATCTTGACGTTGAAACGTTGTTCGACTTACGTTGCCTGGCCATTGATCCAAGCGTCCTCCACAAGACCTGTCATATTGAGTCAGTAAATCTCATGGTACAAATCGCAGAGCGTAGCGCGTAGCGCGGCGGTTGTGGAGCGCAGGAGCGAGAAGAAGCTGAGAAGCCCGGCCGGAATCGTCCTGCCCGCCGTTCCTTCCTGGTGTGGTGAAGTATGATGTCCCCGGAAAGCCGAAGTAGCCTTCTTTTTGACGGATGTAGCTCGAAAGCTTCGATGCCAATGCTTAAGCAGAGTCTTGATGCTTCTCGACAGGTGAAGCTACGGTTTATGGGTGTGTGTAGAGCTTCAAGGCAGGTACGGCGGAATCGGATGTTTTGAGGCGCAGGGGGCGGGTATGACGCAGGTAGCCTTGGAGACATGTGACGGCGAGGCGAGGGTTGGGAAGAAGGAGATCGGAGAGGAGAGCAGAGGGCCAGCGCATCGCGGGGTTGGGATTCCGGAGAGGCGGGAGAGAGGAGGGAGACTCACAAGGCATCTTGTCGGGCCTTGCGCAACGGCGAGGAGCTTGTCAGCTCGAGTTGACAACAAGCCGTTTGGAGGTGGGAAGCGGGTGGAGCTTGGGTCGCGAGACCACTCAGGGGAGCGGAAGCAAAGAGACTGGGCGCTTTGTAGAAGAAGTCGGGATAACTTGCAAAGGAATGACTGAGCTTGTCATGAAAAAGGGAACGGCCGTCTGCAGGGCCAATGACACTGACAAGCGTGTCTCAAAAAGAAGAGGGGAGCTTTTGGAAAAGAACGCTGGCGCTGGCGGAGGGGAGGTAATTGGGAAAGTTTGGGGGTTCAGGAACGCAGGTGCGAGGTACCGCACCGCTGTACAGGGGGAGCAAGTTGGCAACCCTTGGGTTTCGAGGCGCTAGGGAAGTTGTAGGGTTAGCGTGTGTGAGAGGTGGAAGGAACCTATGGAAGTGAAAAAGATGTGGGTGCCATTTGTGGCGGTGCATGTGGCTTGTAGCTTCTACAACTGTCTCCCTGAGTTCCTCCTACGATGTTTCCACTGGGAAGGTGCTTTCCTTCTGTCTACAATGGCTTTTCCTTCAGGTTGCATATTTAGGCGCCTGTGGACATTTCCCATCTTACCTAGGTAACGTACCTTAAGGTAGCGTAACAAGAATCATCGGATGCACCATCCACATATGGAGGTTCTGTTGATAAACTTGGCAAGCCTCAAGAGAAATACGTCCACCACCTCTTGGTTATACGATGTCAAGCAAGCAACCAGCAACACGTTGTCAGTCCCGGTTCCCGCCAACACGAGCCATCGCTCGAGCCACAGGCAGCATCAATTGACCGACCATGCAGCGGTTCCCGTCCCCGCTGCCCCGATCCCCGCTCTTTATATTCGCCTGTCCTCTGTGTCAGGGATGTGCGATGCAGCCATGTCTTGATCCCTCTTCTTCGCCGGCCCCTTGCATGTCCGCCCCCCCGACAAACATCTTCAAATGACATTTCTTGGAGCAATGCAAGCTTTCAGGTTACAGCTCCAATGGGGACTGCCGTCGCGTACTTCCATCATCTTCACATATCCGGCCCCTACACCGATGACCGGTCACTGGCATTCAATCACATTCCAAATATACGCTCAATGGCGTCTCCATATCTCAAACGCTTGCAGTTGTGCACCAATCTGGAACACTCGAGGTCTACATGGTAGCATTGAGCATAATCAGCTTCCCTCTGTCTGTTCCTCGTCCAAACCACGTGGCAAGGAGCTTAGGTACCAGAAATGTATCAAGAACACACAATGGCGCAAGTGTGGCCTGAACCCTGCTCAATTGACAACCTGGCCCTGGTGCATGCGGAGGTTTCTTCAACCAGAGCAACACTGACATCAAGACCTCAACTAGACAGGCTCTTTTCACTTCATCCTCTGTAAGCTTGGACTACATGTCAGTGGCTTTCTCGGCCTAATCTGACCGTTGGAATCCGTGGCGTTGGGGAACGTTTGCTAGCTGACAAGCTCTTGTCAAGTTTGAACTTCGCTACTTGAATATTACCTTCTCCATTCTAATACACGAACATCCACTGCCCCTCTCAGTAAGTAGGTTACACATCCGAGGAGTGCAACATGACAACGCAAGACCCATCAGCCTCTCGTGAAACCAAATCTGACCACGGATATCCCGCTGCCTCGGCCCTCTCCGCCCTTCAGTCACTATCAAACGCTTCGTAATAGTCATTACCCAAGTCGTTGCCCCGGCCCCAAGCGGTCCCGTCCGCCCCTCCATCATCCCAGTCTTATCGCTTATCGCATCCCACTTCGCGCGACTTCAGTTGAATCTCGCCCCTCCAACCCTCCATTCTCATAAGTCAGCTCCGGCCGCTTCCCTTCCGGAGTACTTTATCTGACCTACTGAACCGTTAATCACAAACGGACGGAGGCAAATACACCATGGCGCCCAAGGCTAATATCCCAATTATTGACATTGCCGCGGAGGGTGTCGACAGGGCCGCCATTGCGCGCCAACTTGTCGATGCCGCCGTCGAGCATGGCTTCATTTACATCCGTAACACTGGCAAGTACATCACGCTAAGCGACCAAGACTCGGCATTTGATCTGGTATGGCCCAACTTGAAGTTGAATCCCTTTTGAGAACTGCTCGACTGACAAAAGGAAATAGTCCAAGAAGTTGTTCAAGGCACCTGTCGAGGAGAAGGCGGCGTGCACTATCCAGAAGAACAACCGCGGCTGGTCCGGTATGCACTCTGAGACTCTCGACCCCAAGAATCAAAAGGTATGGTTGATCCTGCCCAAAATCTAGGGAATATCCAGATGTTAACTTTCTTAATAGGTCGGCGATTACAAGGAGTAAGATTATAGTGTCCCTAAGCTCTTGGCACTTTGACTTACACACCATTCAGGGCCTTCAACTTTGGCGAGTTCAAGGATGGCAAGGCCCAGCAACCTCTGCCTCCCACCATTCAATTAGATGAGCCCTTCCTGAACTCGTTTAGAGATCAGTGCCATACCCTCTGTCTGGAACTCCTCGAGCTTCTCGGCATTGGCCTCGATGTATTTCTTTCCTCCCCCTTTTCTCCAGCTACCCTCTCTCCACGAGCAGCTCACTGAACTTGTCACCAGGTCAACCCCACAGACTTCTTCTCGTCCGCCCACCTCCGCTCAAAGGGCGACTCGGGCACGATCCTCCGCATGCTCTACTACCCGCCTACCTCAGCCACCTCCTCCAACCCAGACGACGTCCGCGCCGGAGCCCACTCCGACTACGGCTCCGTCACCCTCCTCTTCCGCCTCCGCGGCCAGGCGGGGCTCGAGATCCTCACCCGCGAAAACACCTGGGCCCCCGTCCCCGTCACGCCGCCCGGCACCGAAGCGGATGCCCTGCCGCCCATCCTCATCAACATCGGCGACCTCCTCAGCTACTGGACCAACGGCCTCTTCCGGAGCACCGTCCACCGCGTCGTGTTTGGCGGGGAGGGCGCCGAGGGCGAGACGGATACGGGGCCGAGGTACTCCATGGCCTTCTTCTGTCACCCCGTGGGCTCTGTGGCGCTGGATCCCGTGCCGAGCGATAGGGTGAAGGAGTTTGTCGCGCCCGAGGGGACGCCGAACGCGAATCCTTATGCGGAGCGCAAGGTCATGACTGCTGATGATCATTTATTCATGAGGCTGAGGGAGAGTTATAAGGGGCTGTACAAGGAGGAGGAGGCCAAGGCATGAGTTTTCCCAAGTGGAAAAGTCCGAATTCGTCATGTTCGTATGCATTCGTAAAACAACCCATAACGTTGTGACCTGTTGTATCCCTGGCTACGCTATGCAAAGTACAGGCATTATCATTCCCATTCCCAAAGTCAACATCTGAAAAAAAGAGATCGAGATATGCTAAGCCAATCCAACCCACCACTTCCTCTTGGGATCCGGTTGCTCCTTCGACGGCTTGGATCCTTTGAGCACCTTTTCCAATGCCGTGACATCTTCCAAAAGACGCCAGTCGTACACCTCGACGTACTCGCGCCGGCCATTCAGCGTGTACACTGGATTGCTATCCAGACGTCTCATCAGGATCTTTGTTCCTTCTCTGCGGTTGTGTTCGACAAAGCAGATTTTTCGGGGCCGCTTTCTTCTGGGGCGGTTCGTGGCCGATGTAGATGCAGGTGTTGTGGAGTGGGATGATGATGATGCGATTCTGTCGGAGGATGCTGTCCAGTCTTGCGGATCCGCGGTCCATTCGTGAATGCCGTGCAGAGGGAGAAGATTTTCAGTGACCCAGGGTTGTTGTGCGATACAGGGCGCGAGTAAGACTATCGTGTCTGTAAAGAGACAGTTGTCGCCTGCGTGTTGGCACATGGGCTTCACCTGTGTAGACGAGGGGTATGCCGCGCTCTGATGACGCGGCTCAGGTGTTTCTGCTGCAGATCCTGCCATCGGTTTGCCCGGCTCATGTAAGACAGGAACGTTTGGACTAGCCGCTTTCTGGTCCATCACGATGCGCTTTGTTGTTGCTGGCCGTGTCTGGGACGCCTGAGGAGAGAGAGAAGTCTGATTGGCACTAATATCCCCGAGCGGTCGACGGGTTGGCGGAGGCAGCTCTCGACCGGCGGTGCCAGATTCGGAAGAAACCCTTGGTCGCTTCTGCGGAGTTGCATCTTCCCCTTCTAGACCCCTTTTGCTGGCCCTCGGCGAGTTTGCTGCTTCACTGGCAGTATTGTCTTCAGCGGTGAAGTCCATTTCTGCTGCCCTGTCCGATGAGGTTGGAGGGTTGGTGAGAGTTGGCTCTGGGGCTTCTGCCAATGCTGGTAACCGTTGGAGAGGCTTGGTAGGGCTTATGGAAAAATTCGGCGCTGGCGAAGTTGAAGGCCGGACGGAAGAAGTGCGAGATGGCGTCATGAGAGAGCCCGTCGTGGACTGGCTGACTACATCAACAGGGATACCACGAGGGTCCGCTCTTTCCAGTTTAGCAATCCAGTCCAGCATTTCCTGACTGTCTTCCATGGCCGGGGTGGTGGTTGCTTCTTCAGCCACGGCCTGCAATTCGGAGAAAGAGATTGTGTCTATGAAGGATCGGTCAAAATGAACCTTTGACACTTGAGGAAACCTGGGCTGCCAGAAGTTGGTATTTCCCTCCTTATCAAATGAGAAACAGCGGACTTCAAAGACCAGCGGTTCGGTGAAGACAACGGCGGGCATCTTTTGTTGAGCGATGCCTGGTGCGAGATGAAGGATCAAGGCATCGTTGTCATCGAAAGATACTGGCATCGGGTTTCCGTAAGTCGAGACGGTCTTGAGGAGGGTCTCGTTGAGTTCCACCTGGTGAACCACTGTGAAAACAGGCTGGGCCTGACACCTTTCTACATCCTCCTTGTTCTCGAGGCAACCGAGGTAGAAGTGTGTCCACTTGAGGTTGGGAATGCCGTAGCACTTTGCCTTGTCTGCGTCGTACCGCGCTGCAACCACAGCAAAGTCGCCCACATCACCAAAACCTCCAATGTACTCTTTCTTCAGCTTGATGGGGCAACCAGCAAAGGAGCGGCGACTCTCGCTGAAGTCGAAATAGGGGTCGTCTGGCTTCAGCACCAGGCCTTCCTCCCGGGCGGTGATGGACTCAGCAAAGGCTCGTCGTAGATAATGCACTCCCAGTCTATCATTGAGGTCAACGACTTGTCGCTCCACGAGGTCGGCATGACCCTCTCGGCGGTTAATCAACTCAGTCAGTCGCTCAAAACGCTCGTTCTGGCCTGTACCCAACAGAGATTCCCCATCGATGAGTAAAACGTCAAAGTAGACAATCATCAAGTGTTCATAGTCGTAGCGCCTAGAGACATCATTTTAGATCCATGATGTTGGTTAAGCAGACAAAGTTCCCGTCCGCCAGGCGCGTTGAGCGAAAGGAGGAGGGAGACGAATTGCAGGTAAGGAAAGAGGCGGCTTAATGAGGGGGTGCGGGCTGATGTTCCCGGAAAGGTTGACTTACTGCGAGTCTGCTTCCGTATTCAGATAGCTGCCTGACCTTGTAACGTATTTGCGTATCTTATGGAACGGCATAATCTTCTTCTCCTATTTATCTTGTCAGTTTTCGGACATTGTGCTGATGCGATGGAGCATACCAAGTCACTGTAGACGACGAGCTCGCCCTCAAGGATACATCCCTTGGAGAGCTTGCAGTTCGATTTCCCGATGTTGAGAGAGTCGCGTATAGCTCTGCTCTCATCAGCAAATGACAAACGTGTGGTAAAGTGATGTTGAAGGCTCACCCGTGTAACGCAGCGCGGTCTTTGGTGCTATCCTTGCCACTCTTGGAAAAGATTTGGATGCATTTGAACCCCTTGCTCAAATCTATGTGAATTTGGCAATACTCGCCATCCATTTTCTTCTCGCAGCTCATACGGCCTTGGATGAGCTTCATGCAGTGCTTGATGCTACGCCCTGTAAGCCAGAATGGCCTTCCGACCTTGGTGCCTAGGACGGGCGTCAAGTGCTGCATTAGATCTCTCCGCTTCTGATTTCCTGAGCCATGGAGGAATGAGGGCTCTTTCCTCAGCTTTCTGAGGAGAGACAAGGCCGCATCAAAATTGTCCTGAACCCTGAGTATCATGGGTAGTAGGGGGTCGTAACAGTGATAGAGATGAGAAGGATCCAGCATGACTGGCTGGAAGTTCTTCAGTATCAGTCGGGTAAGCCATTTCGCCTCTCGCGCTTGTAGGCGAAGGTATACGTGACCAAGCAGTTCTTGCCGATTGATGTTGCTGGGATGGGGCTGTGAGGCCCGAACAACGGGCGAGCTGAACCTACACAAGGCAGCGAGGTTGTTGAGGGTTGAATCGATTTCCTCAACAGTTACAGCATCTTTTCCGACGCAAATGGGCGGAGGCTAGCAGTGATGTCAGCGTGGTCAGGTCCTCTTATTATATTACTCCCTCGTTTGTGAGCTGTTGTGAGCTGGGAAAAGCCCCTCCATTCCAGTTTGTAACGAGGCCAGGAACTCACCGTTTCCTTGAAGACTCTTTCCACACAGTCAGCCAGATCCTCGCCGCGACCGGCCTCTTTGTATCGACGCAATTCTTGGAGACGTGACGTTCCGAGGCCAAAGGTGCGACCAATGATGTTGGCTAGCGTGTCGGCCTGGATGCAGTATACGCGATCGGTACGCTTGTCTGGGAGGAGAGTAGAGAGCAGAGCAGAGGCATCTGTCTCAGGATCATCAATACGGTGGCGGTTCAGCGTGAACCAGTTGGATACGCGTTGCTTCAGATTCTTATCGCCGGCTTTACACTGTTTGTATGCCTGCTCCAGAAGATCGCAGACGAGAACAAAGGAAACAGGCATCGTGACGGCTTTGTAGGTCTGGCATGGCCGCGAAGGGTAATGCCAGTCGTCAGAGGATTGCCTGAAATGTTGTAGATGAATCGAACAAGTCGTTCCTTTCTGAGAAAGCGGTTAGGTTCACGTCACCGAGAAACCAAAGGCATGGTAGGCACCAGTGAACGAATGTTGGGTGAGTTGAAGGGCTATTCAGTAGTGGACCGTGATGATGCCTAAGGTGAAATGCTACCGACTTTTGCTGCCTTCCTGTTCCGTCACGGCTTCCAGATGGCTCCTGTGCCTCTTACGAGCGTCATGCAGATAGTTACTACCGCGGGAAGGTCGCGTCACGCGTCTCAATTAGTGGTGGTGCGCTCTCACGTGTGTGCGTGCATTTGCGTCGTGTAGGGCACCTCAGAACGGACGGATTACGTAGGTAGGTAGTCCACCTCAGTGACATGCACCAGAACCAGACTGGCGGCTCAAAAGGTGGGTGAAAGTCAATTAAGTGCATGCGTAGTGGTGTGATTGGGTAATTATGCATCGAATCCCAACTTTGGTTTACCCTTACGTGCCGTAGTGCATGCACAAATGGAGGCCTTGGTAAATGCATAAATGGGCAGGTTCTGGAAAGTCCAAAGGAGCAGTCACGTGGGTCTCTGACAAGAGTCGGGGAAACAAACTGCGGCTGTGATTGGCTGCTAATTTCAGGGAAATTGTCAGATTGGGGAGTCTCCACACAGACCACGGTTCATCCCAGCTCTTTCCTGCGGACCCTTGCCGGGACCTGCACACCTGCACACCAGCACTCTTTCATAGTATTTTGTACCGTACGCAGTAGTTTTCTTGGAGATCTGCTAGCTGCTGCCTCGGGCCCTTTTTCCAAGACTTTCCCGTCCGGCGCCGCCGTCAGTCCGCCGCCCATCTTTCGAGCCTGTTGCCCGGCCGCCCATCGGTTCCTGACAGGTTCTTGACTCCTGCTGCGGCTTGTTGCAGCGTCGCTGCGTCTTTACAGGTTCCTTGCAGACGATGGTGTTGCACGCTTGCTGCATTTGCTGCAAGCCCCTGAATAACGTCCATCCTAGTGGATCGCCACGCCTGCAAACGCAAGCCTTGGCCCACTGGTTTCCGTGTGAGCGTCGACGATGGTTTCGTTTCGTCTTGTTGATCTAACGAGGCGTCCATCAAAACAATGGAAAACGCATGTGCGATGCCAGATCCAAGGTCGAGAACAATGGCCCATCAGAGATCGGAGGGGGGTGATGCCTGCTTATCCAGAGACCTTAGTACCTATTAGCTTAGCTGTCACTGTCAACAGGGACGATGGATGTAGAGTAAACATTGCACTGGAGAAAAAAGAGAGAAAAAGAGGCCCAGGCTAAAACAAAGGCAATGCGTTTTACGGATACCACTCTCAAGAACACCACCACCGTCCACGGCTCCGTCATCAACGGCTCAAGGTCAGACCACATGCTCCGGTTCCCATCCCAACAACCAGGGCCGTAGCCAACAAAAGAGTCAACTGACCTACTGCCGCTGCTGCCATCGCGTTGCATCTACCCGACTATCAATTTGAAGGTGCCCGCCTAGTCACAGTTCTTCTTCTCTTACTCGTCCATTGTCAACTTCATTCTTTCATCCCACCATCTTCATATCTCTCACCCACCCTCCTCCGCCATTGGTTCGATCTCACCGCCGCTGTTCGCTCCTGCCGCTGTCAATACTGTCGCCATTGCTTCTTCTCTGCCAGCCTTCATCCAAACACCTCCTCACCTCATCTCAACCTTACCTTACCCAACCTTGCTCTCTCCCTTACGGATACCAATTACATAGCATACGACGACGGGTACCTTACCTCATACTTTGGGTCCAGACATCGGTCTCCCTGTTCCCCTTGTACGATCCCAGGTCAACAACACGTCTTCTATCAACAAGGCATCAACAAGCAAGCATCAAGCAATTCGAGCAGCATTGACAGCACAGAGCCACAGTACAGGGCCTCGCCCATAGCCGCATCCTCTTTTCGACCTCGCTTGGTCGTCACAATTTCTACATCAACACACGTTTCCCCATTTCCAGTCCTTGTTCCTCATCCAACTGGGAATCTGTGCCCGAATCCGTCATTCAAACCCATCCAAGGTTCCCGACGAAGCGAAGACAGGCGAGATCAAAAGTTTCCACTGGACCGCTGCAGCAACGCAACTCCTTGACTACCGAGCTTTCCCACCCGGTAGCTTCTACTCCACAACCTAGGAGTCAGTCACACACACCTCGCACTGCAGTGACAGAGCAAGATTGAAAGAGGTCGAGGCCCGCCCCTATCTGCCGCAGTACAGCAAAATACCCTCGTCCGCCACGCCAGCTCGGCCAATCTCGCTGTCCAATCGTCGCCCCCGTTGCGCTGCAACCCTCATTCAACGGCCCCCTACCAGACCCAGACCGCAGACCCAGAGAGGAGTTCCTTCAAGTCCCCAGCCCACGCAATCCGACTACCCCTACTGGCAGTCTGCCACTACGGAGCACCAACTGGATCTCCTGCTTAGGTTCCTGAACCTGGATCCCCCCCGACCCCCGAACTTTCAATCCTCTCCGGGCCGCCCTCTAATCGTTGCACTTTGTGGCTATCTGCCCGGTCCAGTCACTCTCTTGCTGAGCCTGTGCCTGTGCCTGCACAACAACAAACACGCACACCTTCGGGCTGTCAATAATGACCCTCTTTCCACTCTACTCATGACAGCCATTTTTTTGCTACAAATCTGCTTCATCTCTGCTTGCTCACGCACTCTCTTATATGACCACCAGAGACACTTGAATTCCTACAAGGCTGTCGTTGCCAAAAGAACGAATCACGCTCACTCCTCCGCCGTCTGGAGACAGCGGCATACTCGGCGACCCAACACCGCCTCTCCCTCGCATTCTTCGCCTAAGCGCCGTCGAGCATATACCACCACCGCCGATTGCCAATCCTTGCACGAGGCGTCCACCGCGCACTTTGCTCGCGCTGAGATGCAGAGCACTCACGAGATCATACGCCGTCGTGCCTCTGTGGTTGAGCGTCCGCCGGCGGACCCCCCGGCCACCACGACCACCACGGCTTTTACACCACAACCCGCCGTCACCCCGAGGTCTTCATATTTCAAGTCTTCAGAAGCCCAAATCGAGACTCTGATCGGAGAGATGGAGACCCCAGAGGCTGTGACGCCTCCTCCGCCTACTCCCTCAACCCAAGAACGTTTTTCGCGCGCGTCACGTTCAGAGTCGAACGCATCGCGTAGCACGAACCGACTCTCACTCACCCTTCCTATTGCACCACCAACCAGCGATCCTTCTCGCCCAGCTTCCGTCGCGACGACATCGTATCCCCCGACGCCTGTCGACAGCTCGACCGTCACATCACCTTCAGACCCCAATGACTTCATCATTGCGATAGCAGCGCAAGAGCGACGTGTCTTGGAGATTCGCGAAGAACTAGCTCGCGCCGAGGGTGAGCTGACGAGACTGAAGCAGCAGTGGACTATCCAAGGCGGTCAACGAAAGAGAGAGATTCGCAATGAGCCGATGCGTCCACTGGCGCCTCAATTCGAGCCATCCTTATTGGACGATGATGAGGCGGGCTTGAAGAGGAGTGTTGAATTGGATCGGAGGAAATCGCTTCTGAGAGATTTGCAGGGACAAACCGGGCCCAGGGAATATAGACGAAGAGTTCTCCGTGGCGGGCACACGAGGACGCTATCGCTACTCTCACCAACCAAGCCGGAGAGTTTCGCTGTGCACGAGGATACCGCCAGTCTGAAGTCGCTAGAACTCCGGTCACCGCCCATGCTGTCCCATGCTGCGCTTTCCAAGAGAGCATCCTGGCAGCCGCGCTCATACAACACAGCCGTCCCCCCCGTCGCAAAGCAAATGGCACAGGACTTTAAGCTAGGTCTGTGGAGCTTCGTGGAGGATATCAGACAAGCTACTGTCGGCGATGAGCCCATCAATGGTGGACGTCCGGGCTCGACGGACCCCCATGGCAGGAGGTCGTTTGCTGGAGACCAGGACACCATCAAGGCCAACAGCTCTTCTCGCACGAGGGTCCCGGTGAACTCTGCCTTTGACTTGCCGCCCATGGACACGCCTAGCAAGCCGTCCAAGGCGTTGCAGGAAAGACCGAACCCTAAGCCCGCAACCAAGTCCACAACGACAAAGGCCAAGCACTTCTCATGGACTCCGTTGACTTTCGACTCCTTCGATGACAACGACTGGTCCAATTGGGACTCACCTCAGCCGTCCTCGGCCAAACCAGCACGCTGGAGTGGATCGACCGTTGGTGGAGCAGAGGACCTTGCGTCAATGGCCGAGACCAACGACGAGAATGTGACTCCACTGTAAGAGCCTCACTAATGATGTCTGCCACCCTACAGGTATACTAAGACATGTGTGTGAACAGTAAAAAGAAGTCGTCGATCACCATTGACACATCCGCTGCTCGGCCCGAGCCTCGACCTGAGTCAGCCCTCTTGTCTCCCGCTAGGCTGGAAGAGCTTCTGCCAACCGTCGTCAACAAGCTGTCACCCGGCAATCTCAAGCGAACAGCCAACAACCTCATGGATGAATGGGAGAAGAGCCTCAAAGAGAGCGACCAAGAGGAGCAGCTCATTGACTTCAAGGAAACAACGGCTTGAGCCACGTTTACGAGTCGCAGTCATCACGACGAAAATACACAAGAATCGGCATGCTAGTGTTGCAGCGAACCTGCCGACGCTGCACATACACGAACTCATCGCATTGATTACAGTATAGATAAAAGTACAAAAAACTGGACCGAACTGCACAAAGCGGCGAGATGAAATGAGCGGACAGGTTTTCTCCGCTGAACATAGAATATCCATTGGAGGCCAGAGCAGGGTCTCGGGAGAGTTATCGAGAGGAAAAGAGCAGCGAGGATGCTGTTCAGATATCGGCAAGTCAAGGAGGACTTGCATGGATAATCAGAGCTGCCGTGAAAGGAGCTCATATCGGCGTATGTCTGGGTGCGCGGTCTGGCAGTCATTTCATGATGATGAATGACCTGTTGGATATTGGCAATGGCATAATGACGATACTAATGAATGTACGAACGTAAAGTTTTCGTGCTTTGGGATGGGATCAAAACATTGGCGTACGATACTGTTGGACCTTGCTGCTCAGCAACTCTCAGACCTTGTCTACTTGCGTTATGGTGACAATACGGGAGTTGAAGCTTCAGGAATGACTTGCTTAAATGTAGTTAGTTAGACTTAGTGTTAAATGTTTATGATTCAATGGTCAACCAGTTTAGTTCAAGTGAAGTCGATGCTTTAATGTGCAGCACGTAGTCCACGGCTTCACTTAAGAAGTTGTCCCTTGCCTATCTAACGATTGTAGTTTTTCATTTGCTTCCACCAAATGAAATGTTCAGTTGTTCCGGGAGCCTTAGAGAGACAAGAGTATATGCTAGAAGAGTTATATCAAGTTGTGGCATTACATCCGCGGTAAACGAGTCTGCAAAGGTGATATCTACTAAGGTAGATAAGCAAGGGATGCCTGAATAGGTGCCGTCTCGGGGCCAACGGTGCGGAGAACAAGCTGTGTCTTAGAAGCAGCTAGCCAGGTCGTGGCAGTGCAGCTTTCTCAGGCTCCTAGCAACCCAAAGTGGCCGGCGGAACTTCTTGAACGACTACCGGCCTGCCGCTCCGTATTGAACCGAACTGAGGTCATCCCTACCTCTGGATTTTTACCTTGTGAGAGGGACGAAGAAGCTAGTGTTATGTCATTTTCCGAGAGCGAAACCATACTATAGACCATTCAAAAACCTCACCAATGAGGAGATCAGCCCCAAACAAAAGTATACGGTCAGCCATGTTACAAAAGTTTCCTGTATTGCAAAGTGCATGTAAGTCGGGTTCTGTCCTCGCGTCGGTGACAGTTCGTCGTTAGTGTCACCACCAAACTCTCACCCGCTGTTCGATTATCCATTGGGAACTATCCATCGTGATGGGGAAAGCGATTGACAAGGTCAAAGGGGACCGCTTGTCGTCTAGAAGTTTGGCTCCTCAAAGGTTTCTCGAAAGTAAAGGGATCAATGAGATGCATTGGAACTCCGATCTACCTTTTGCTGCAAATCAGCAGTGGAGCTTCGTTCGACTAGCAGGTTCGTCTGACCAGTTGAGACATGCTCCTGTGGAGTTCGAAGTCGCGGGAGGTCTGTTTCAAGAGAGTTTGGATCGTGCCATGCAGAGAGATGATCTTTGCAAGATCTTGAGCCGTAGAAGCCGGTTAGGTCTACTTGCTTTGAGGTCAGAGTTCCCAAGCGCGTTACTTGGGTCAGATTCAATTTCACACGAAAAGCATCTGGTTCGCATGTACGGAGTACCATCCGCGCTTGCCGCGGCGAAGAGCAGTGGCCTCAAAGCTCAAGGTCGAGAACGATGGGCGAAGTCTGAGGATCGTGTTATCGACAACTCGGCAAATGCCAGCACACCTCAGTTGAGGCCCAGATCAGCAAGGGAACAAGCCGAGAAGGCTATCGGGCCTGAAGCAGGCCGAAGCTTCCCCCGATCTCGGCAGGTGGGGTGTGGGGTTGAGGGGAGGGTTCTCCAGGGCACTTAGCAGGGGCGGGGCACTACTTACTTTTGCCAGCGAAAGCAGGCCATTCCAGACGAACAACTCGTCCCCGACTTCGCTCAGCTATATATCTCGTCGAACTTAGTCTTCAATTACCTTACTCTCTCTTCCAATTACCCCTCCTACGATACCCCTCATTCAGAAAAGTATTGCAATCATGGCGGAACACAACATTGTTGTCTTTGCGGGCGACCACTGCGGCCCAGAGGTGACTGATACCCCCGAACTTTCCCACCAGAAATTTGAGCAGAGAAAGGCTGACTTTGGGTATTTGACAGGTCATCGCTGAGGCAATCAAGGTACGAGGCTGGTATTTGCGACCTGCAATTGAGCATATCTGACGCGGGATACAGGTCATCAAGACAGTCGAGAAGCTGAGCCCGACTGCTGGCAAGTTCAATCTGCAGGACCACCTGCTCGGAGGGGTAAGTCGTCCCCCGATGACGGATATCACGGGCCCAAAGACATCCATGAGAAAAGTCTCTTGCTAACATCGGAATTTCTCCCCAGTGCTCAATCGACCAGACCGGCTCCCCCCTCACCGACGAGGCCCTCGCTGCCGCCAAAGCCGCCGACGCCGTGCTCCTCGGCGCCATCGGTGGCCCTGAATGGGGCACCGGCGCCGTCCGCCCGGAGCAGGGTCTCCTGAAGCTGCGCAGTGAGATGTGCGCCTACGGAAACCTCCGTCCCTGCTTCTTCGCGTCCGACGCTCTCGTCGAGTCCTCCCCCCTGAAGGCGTCCGTCTGCCGCGGCACCGACATGATTATCGTCCGCGAGTTGACTTCGGGCCTGTATTTCGGAGAGAGAAAGGAGTACGATGGAACCAATGCGTTCGACACTACCGTTTACACGAAACCCGAAATCGAGCGTATCGCGCGGTTGGGCGGTATCCTGGCCAGGAAGAGGGGAGACTCGCGGGTTATCTCGCTAGACAAGGCAAACGTGTTGGCGACAAGCAGACTCTGGCGTACTGTCGTTGATGAGGTCTACAAGAACGAGTTCCCTGACCTCAAGGTTGAGCATCAGCTTATTGACAGTGCGGCTATGATCATGGTCAAGAACCCGACGCATCTGAATGGCGTCCTGTTGGCGCCTAACTTGGCTGGTGAGCGAGGCTCCTCGCCCACCTCGAAGACGGTTTAGCTGATGAAATTATAGGTGATATTCTTAGCGACGAGGCGAGCGCCATCACTGGAAGCATAGGACTCCTCCCCAGCGCAAGTCTCTGCGGAGTGGGCACTGCAGTGCCTTCTATTTGCGAACCTATTCACGGTAAGCCTTCTTTCTTTTTCAAACCCTCATGTGGATATCAGTCGCTAACGCAGATGACAGGGAGCGCGCCGGACATTTCAGGCAAGGGTATTGTGGTACGTCGAGACCCCATTTTGGGCGATTCCTATCCGTTTGCTGCAAGCACATAGCTGACATCATCTCCAGAACCCCATTGGCACCATCCTTTCCGTCGCCATGATGTTCCGGTACTCTCTGAACCTCGGCCACGAGGCCAAACTCATCGAGGACGCCGTCCGCGTCGCCATCGACGCCGGGCTAAGAACCAAGGATATGGGCGGCAACACGAGCACCGCCGAGGCAGGAGATCTGATCGTCGCTGAGCTGTCCAAGATTCTCAAGGCGTGAGATGTCTTATGCGAAAAGCAGAACTAGGAGTGAGGTTGAAACAGAAAAAGGGAAAATCGGGGTGGAGAGTGGAGGGTGGAAGAACCAAAGACAATAGTAGCTAAAAAAGCGAAACGAGTCGAGGAAAGCAGTGGCTGACAGAAAAGTGCTGAGAAGAGATGAGCTTATTAGCACTGGTGAGGAAATACAAAAAAAAATGAGGTTAGCTTGACTGGGCAAGTTGGCTAAAGTGACTGGCTTCTGTATCACGGACAACCAGGCCTACCACCACCATCGTCGCCGCCGCTACTGTCATCGACACTTAAAAGGATCCAGAGAGACCTTTGTACGAAGGGATCGTCCGACATGCCAGCCTACGTCGACCTTCAGGTCCCTCACATTACCTGATTAGCAATATTAGAAGTACTTTAACGATAGCTTAGCTACTCCTGCGTCAGTGTGGTAGTAGTGGCATCTCCAGGCCTAGCTGGCAGCAGCACATAGTCAATCCAACCAGACTACACCGTCAAATCAAGCGAGCTTAAAATCAAAGGGGCACAGTCAATAACGGGCAAGCTAGGAGCAGCTTCATTAGAAACGAAGTAGAATCCTCAACAAATAGATATGCCGTGAAGTGCTGTCCGGTTCACTATCAGTAATCAGGCTTCTGCAAGGTACCTCGCCTAGCGCCGGGTGTCTGGCCAATGCAGTCACGTGATGCCAACTGTCCAGTCAGGAGCTGGGCCGTCGTCTGCAACACATGGATTACAGTGACGTCGAAGCTCCAGAGATAGCTTCTGCTCAACCTCTAACAACACCTCGACGACATCCATCTAGCCCGCTCTCCCCCTCAACCGCCGACCCTCCTACATCCTCCATCGACTCTCCCTTTGTGACGACGCTACACGAGTCGAGCCCTGCTCGCGTCGAACCGCCCAGCATGCCTCCTGTAAGCACCCCGACCCCAAGGCCCGTTGTCGCCATCGCCGCGTCTGTTATGCGGCATATGCCAGCCCCACCGACCTCGATTGCTGGTTGCTGACCTCGGGCGCCAACCCCTACAGAAGCAGAAGAAAGAAGCCAAGGTCGAGCAGGAGGAGGATCTCGGACATGGTAAGCTCTTAATACTCTCCGATGCATCTTGATGATGCCATTGACTGACCGTATCGTGCAGGCAAGATCTTCTCCGTCTCAGGGTTCGTTTGAAGCTCCCCCGACTTGCCTCGGTCCCACGATCTGTCGCGCATGACGACTAACCGCGTAGATAGACCCGTCATTGTCGCCGAGGACATGATTGGTGTTGCTATGTACGAGTTGGTAGGTTAAGATGCTTGTGAAACCTCTGGGATGATGCCTGACATATTCGCAGGTTAGAGTCAGTCACGATAACCTAGTCGGTGAAGTCATTCGAATCAACGGCGACCAAGCAACCATCCAGGTCTACGAGGAGACTGGTACGTTTCTGACTCCCGATTTCACCCCTCTCCGAATCACATATGTCTAATGCAATGCGCAGCTGGTGTCACTGTCGGTGACCCCGTCTACCGCACCGGAAAGCCCCTCTCCGTCGAGCTCGGCCCCGGTCTGCTCAACGGTATTTACGATGGTATCCAAAGACCTCTCGAGAAGATCAGCGAAATGTCGAAGACCATTTACATCCCCCGCGGTATCGCCGTCCCTGCCCTCGACCGTAATAAGAAGTGGGATTTCGAGCCCACCGCAAAGGTTGGCGACCACATCTCAGGCGGTGACGTCTGGGGTACTGTCAACGAGAACTCGTTCATTTCCGTCCACCGAATCCTGCTCCCTCCTCGCGCCCGCGGTACCATTACCAAGATCGCCAGTAAGGGACAGTACACCGTTGCCGAGCCCCTTCTCGAGGTCGAGTTCGACGGAAAGAAGACCGAGTACCCCATGATGCAGACCTGGCCTGTGCGAGTTCCCCGCCCTACCACCGAGAAGCTCCAGGCGAACGAGCCCTTCATCGTCGGTCAGAGAGTGCTGGACGCCCTTTTCCCCAGTGTTCAGGGTGGTACCGTCGCCATTCCTGGTGCTTTCGGCTGTGGCAAGACCGTCATTAGTCAATCTGTGTCCAAGTTCTCCAACTCCGATGTCATCGTCTACGTCGGTTGTGGTGAGCGCGGAAACGAGATGGCCGAAGTCTTGAAGGATTTCCCCGAGCTTACCATCGACGTTGACGGTCGCAAGGAGCCTATCATGAAGCGTACCACCCTCATCGCCAACACCTCCAACATGCCCGTCGCTGCTCGTGAGGCCTCTATTTACACTGGTATCACGGTCGCCGAGTACTTCCGTGACCAGGGTCTCGACGTTGCCATGATGGCTGACTCTTCTTCGCGCTGGGCTGAGGCTCTTCGTGAGATTTCTGGTCGTTTGGGAGAAATGCCTGCTGATCAAGGTTTCCCCGCCTACCTCGGTGCCAAGCTTGCCTCTTTCTACGAGCGTGCCGGTCGCGTTGTGTCTCTTGGTTCACCCGAGCGAAACGGCAGTGTCAGCATTGTCGGTGCCGTCAGTCCCCCTGGTGGTGATTTCTCCGATCCCGTTACTACTTCAACTCTCGGTATCGTACAGGTCTTCTGGGGTCTCGACAAGAAGCTCGCCCAGCGCAAGCACTTCCCCTCCATCAACACTTCGCTCAGTTACTCCAAGTACACCATGGTCCTCGACAAGTGGTATGAGAAGGATTACCCCGACTTCCCCCGTCTCCGTGACCGCATCAGACAGCTCTTGTCCGACTCTGAGGAGCTTGACCAGGTCGTGCAGCTGGTCGGAAAGAGTGCGCTGTCTGATCCCGACAAAATCACTCTGGATATCGCCGCGCTTCTGAAGGAAGATTTCCTGCAGCAGAACGGTTACTCAGACTACGACCAGTTCTGCCCGCTGTGGAAGACGGAGTGGATGATGAAGCTCATGGTTGGCTTCCACGACGAGGCACAAAAGGCCATTGCTCAAGGCCAGAGCTGGGCCAAGGTCCGTGAGGCCACTGGTGACTTGCAGGCCAAGCTGCGTCAACTCAAGTTCGAGGTTCCCTCCGAGGGCCAGGAGGCTATCGAGAAGAAGGTGAGTTTACGTGGTAATATGACCGGTTGCTGTCTATTTGCTAACTCAATTGGAACAGTACGAGGATATTCAGCAGCAGATGCTGGACAAGTTTGCCTCTGTTGTTGACGAGTAATTGCGTTTAAGCATTGAGTATTGTCCTGTTTAGTCTGCATTCCTTGCACCGTGAGGGGATGTCTCTGGTTTCAATAGATAAGTCTAGGGCGAAGACGCATCATGCATGGTAGTTCCTTGTTTCGTAGTCTCGGCTAGTATATCCTATCTGTACATGATCGTTATAGCCGAAGTGCGCTCTACAGTCTAAAAGTGAGACCGGGATGCCGCGTGGGTGAAGATATAGATCGAGGTACTTGAAGGTACCGGTCTACTACGCCCAACTCCATGATAATGGTAGAAATCGTGCTTGAAGCCCTGAAGCTAATATTTACCGTCACTCTACCGGGCGACATCGCCGTACCCGATGCTTTTCAGGAGACAGGCCGACTCACACATACGCACACTTCCTAACGAAGTAGGCTATATAGCCACCAGACGGCATGATCGAATTAGGTTCGAACATTTTGGCTACATGAGTACACACAGCACCTGCACAAGTAAGATCACAAACTTTCCCATCTCATCGCCCCAAATCTCTGTCTACATTCACGATATTGTTGAAGGTGGGTCTGGTGACTGCTCCTGCCTTTCGGATGAATACTATCCGGACAAGAGAGAGAGCCCATATAGGTCCCAACAATCCCATTCTCTGTCACCAGCCAGCAGGCGCCCGTCTAGGCCGATGGGTCAGGTCAAACTGGCTGGGTGATGGAGTGGTTTACGGTCAACAATCTAAGTACGCCCATAGCCTACTCGACGACAGGCTCCGAGTTCGAGTTCGATTCCCAGCAAGTGCACCAAGAGATGTAGCCACACCGGTGGTGAACTCTTTTTTTTCTTTTTCCCTACTGAATATTCATACGCCCATTAATTTATTTACATTGACCCAAGAAGACCCAATCCCCCCTTTCATGATTTACCCATCTCTTCCTCGAGCCAAGCTGGGATCGCAGGCGGATGCTCCCAGCCGTCGAGGTAGCTCTGCCTGGAGACGCCCTCACCGCTCGGCTTGGCGTAGATACCCGTAACGTACCACACCGTCTCGCCCTTCTTGATGGTGTGCTGGAGCGTCGGGATGGTGGTGCGGCTCTCGACAAGGTTAGAGTTGGGGTCGGCGTTGACGAGGTTCGCTGTCCGCTCGATGCGAGCGCCTTCCAGGGCTTTTATGCCCACGGCGCCCTTGGACACGGCAAAGGAGCCGTCTCGGCCCTTTGCGAGCCCTTCGGGCGTGTTTGTGTCGTAGTTGCCAATGATTTTGGGCGATGTGCCCTCGCCCTTGGCGGCGTCGTAGAGGTCGAGGTACCGCCCGTTGGTCGAGTTCTCGTTGGCAATGGCAAAGGATCCGTCGGCGGTCATGACGTCGCGGCCGGCCTTGATGTGATGGACGCGCAGGTGCCAGTTGGGCGTGGCCTCGGCGGGGGGCACGAGGATGGTCTTGATCTCAACGTCCAAGAAGGGCTTCCACACGGAGACGAGGACCGGCCCGCTGCCGTCTCCGTCACCTCTGGACTCGATGCCGGCGTACTGTGAGAGCCGGCGCGTCTTCCAGTACTCGCCGCCATCGTCGGAGAGGCCGAGCTGCGAGGCGAGGGCGTACTGCTCGAGGGAGAAGAGGCCCGGGGGCACGGAGTAGCCGTAGGCGCTCGAGTAGGCAAAGGCGCCGTATTTGGCGTGGGTGCCCTTCATCGGGTAGCTGCAGGCCTGGCCGGAGGAGAGGAGCATGCAGTGGCCGCCGATGTTGCTCATGATGTGGCCTGGCTGGGAGAGAGGCTTGAGTTTGGGGATCACATCCCAGGCTTGTTCTTCCTTTGATGTCCAGAAGGGGTGGTCTTCGGGAACTGCGAGGCAGATGAAGGCTAAGCAGGCCCAGTACTGGCAAGGAGATATCGGTCAGTCACGAGGTTTGAGAAGTAATTGCCTATAGAGAGGCAAAGACTCACAGGGCTTCCGGGACTATTGTAGTTCTCGGCCATGTACATGTTTGGGTAAGAGTACCCAACCGTCAACGTCCCGCTCGGGCTCCACATGTCGTGCTGCGTCTGCCACCAGCGCAGGTGACGCATCACGATGCCCTTGACCATACCCCACGTCAGGGGCGCCGGCAGCTCGACGCCGGCGTACGCGAGGGCGCCCCAGAACGAGACCATGGCGAAGCGGTAGCCGACGCTGCGGCCAAAGGGGATGGCGCGCCCTTGTTCGTCAAAGTAGTGCGCAAGGTCGAGGGCGACCAGCTGCGCCCTCTTGCGGAACTCGGCGGCGCGTTCGGGCTCGTCATCGCCGGCGATCTTTGCGTAGAGGAGCTGGAGGAACTGGATGGCGAAGCTGGAGGAGTAGTAGTCCATCTGGTGGATGCCCTCTGGTCCGTCGTTGGACCAGCCGCCGGCGCGGTAAAAGGTGTCGAGGTGCTTGATGTCTGCGTCGAGGCGCGCCTGTGAGAACTTGCCGCCGTTTTTCTTGAGGCCTAGATTGGCAAAGACGCGGAACCAGAGCCAGTTTGTGTTTGGCATGCTTTGAGGGAGGGTGTAAGTGTTAGTGATGTTTTCGAAGGTGGAGTGACTGCATGTTTTACTTCTTCTCGTTGATTGAGTTGCCTAGCCAGTTCTCGACATTTACACGCTCCTTTTCGGACAGACTTTCCCAGATAGTTGGTGCAACGGCAAGAGTGAAGCCTATCGTGTCTGGTTAATCTCTGCGGAGCGGCTGTCGTTTTCACTCGGTTAGGCAAATCCAACATACCAAAAGGGCACATCTCAACCATACGCTGGTCATTATCCCGGGGGAATCCCCAATACTCTGGGTTCTCAGGGTCGGTGCCGGCCTTGATGCCCTGGATCCACCACTCAGTACCGCGGTACTCCCCTCCGCCGGCCAGGAGGGCCGCAAGGCCCCAGATGGGGCGGAGGATGCCCTCGACCTCGGAGGCGGCCTGATCGAAGCGGACGGCGGTGGCGCCGGGGACCTTGACGCGGGCTTTCTGGGGAGAGAAGAAGGGCTCGAGGGGGTCGAGGAGGGTGCGGAGGAGCTTTTGGACGGAGGACCTGTCTGTAAGATTTACTTTAGAGAAGGGATGGACGCCGTTGTAGCCCAGCACGAGGCCGGTTTTGGGGTCCTCCATGATGAGGTTGGGATGTGATTATTGGCTAAGAATGAGGGACACCTTGTGAGAGAGCAAGAGGAACGGGATGAGAACGTCAAGTAAGAGTAGAGAAAACGTTCGGAATAATGAGTAGCTATGTACGCGGGGGAACATCGAGGTCATAACCCGGCATCCCACGCAACGAACCTCGCGTTAGAATTACTCCGGCCAGCATGAACCCACCAGCAACCGGGCGACTTTCGCCGTGCCGTGTAGACGCAGAACCATCGGGTCTAACTTTGCGGGATGGTAAGATGGTGGGGTCGACTTCAGTCCTCGGGGGAGCTCTGTCCAATGCTCTTCTTTTCTCCCCTTCAAGATCGTCAAAGCAGGTTGTTGCTTGGGGGCACCTCCCCGCTCAATGTTTGGGGTTCGGTGGGGGTGGAGAGTGAGGGGGAGGGGCTGCTACGACCAAGTACGGATACCCTCGTATGAATAAGTGCCACTACCGGCGATGTGGAGGAGGGGAAGGATGACCTGTATCCGTGTTCGCGGCTAAATGCGAAATGGGAGACAACCTGCAGCACCAGCGACCATGCCGGCCGTTCAGCCTTAATGCATTAGGGGCAGCTCTGCTGCAGATTAGTTAGTCTTGAAGATTGATGGTGCAGAGACTGGTGATGCATGTGCTGTCACCTGGGTGAACAATATGCCGAATCGTGTGGTCCATGGAGACCAGATTTCTCCGGATGAAGAACTCGCCGTATTTCCTTGGGAATTCGTGGCTTCGGTGCTTGCGTCCAACAGCAGGCCGGACTGAGGACGGAGCATCACAGCTGTTGTTCTGCAATTGCGAGGGAGCCTACCTTCAGAAACGAGCTAAGCCCCCTTATGGTTCATCAATTGGAAGGGTGGCCGAGTTGGTTATGGCGCCAGGTTAAGGTCAGCTTAACATCTGTTTCCTGGTGGGGCAACCCGCGCGAGTTCGAGTCTCGTCCCTTTCATTTTTCGATTTTTTGACAATTCATATAATGCCTTTTTACTTAAATGAACGGATCTGATCATTTTGTGCCCTTTGCACTGTATTTTGCTGTGTTTTGACACAGTCGAAGTTGGTGTCGGGTTGGTTGGGGAAGATTTACATATTGAGGTGAGATATAAATCCCTTCCTACTTTTCGGCGACGTCTCGCAGCTCTACGCTTTGCACGATGAGTTCAATTGACCGGAACGACTTTGGAAAATTTGACCCACGTATCCGTTCCTCTATGTAGAATCCAGCTGGGAACGGGTTTGTTTTCCCCGCCATTCCTTCAAACTCTCCCTTATGCACCATGTGGTTCTTCCCGTATATGAAGGCCCTCAAGATCTCGTTTATGGTAACCAAGTATGAGACAGGGATGCCTCTCAACAAGGTGCCCATGACGTCGATGCATCTTGCTCAGCTCAGGCTGGTGGTAAAGAAGTGAAGCTGATGATAAAAATAAAAAGGCTTTGTCTCTAGCAAAGAGAAGCTAGTTCATGTAATGCTCTCTATAAATACTCCTTTAGCAACCCCAATGTATTCCCATCTGAAAAACCCGCAGACGAAAGCCAAAGGCAGATAGTGGTGTAGCTGTGCTTTAGAACCGCGTGTGGGTGTAGACATACCAGGCGGGCCCAAAAAGCATACCCAGCATTTCGGCAAAGAAGCCACTTCCGAATAGAAGATGTGGGTCACTGATATTGATCCAGTTCAAGCCTGGAGCAGTCGTGTTCAGGGGGAAGAGAGCAGTCGTATATATGTACACTTTGATTTCTAACGGCAACGACAACAAGGCAAGAGGCAACGGTGGGAAGGCGCGGAACCAAAGAGTCTCACGAAAACACTCAATTACCTACCCAAGTCACCAAGAGTAGGTACTTACACAGTAGGTACTTACACGTTACCCGAGGTAACCAATCG